ATCTATGCTCCATTTTCTACTCCCTCCTTTAGTCAATTACAAAATACAACCCCAAATGGCACTAGAAATTAAAACAGCAAGGACTCCAACAGATATGAGGACACCAATGTTCATGACAGCATTTTTCGCAATAGCCAAAATGTGGAAACAACTTCAAAGCCCATCAATAGATAAATGGATAAATAAAATGTGGAATGTACATGCAATAGATTATTACATAGCCATGTAGAGAAACGATGTCCTGATGCCTGCCACTACATGGATGAACCTTGACAACATCACGCTGCGTAAAATCAGTCAGGCCAAAGGGGAAAGTATATCAAGATAGAAATTTATTACTGGTTCCTGGTGTTGTGCTGTAGGATAAGCATCGGATCACAAGGTCAGTTTGAACCACAAAGTCAGTCCTTCAAACCCATCAGCCATTCGACTCACCAGCACTTAACACCACCACCACCGCTGGCTGAAGAGAAGGAAGAACTGAGTTAATGGAGGTGTACTGAGTTTCTAGAAATCCCTGGGTGGGGTACATGGTTAAGGTCTGAGCTACTAAAAGTGAGTAGTTTGAGTCCATCCAGAGGAACTTCAGAAGAAAAATGTGACAATCTGCTGCCAAGGGCATTGAAACCCTACAGAGCACAGTTCTGCTCTGACACACATGGGGTCACCATGTGTCAGGATCAGCTGAATGACAACATTTTTTGTTGTTCTTTTATTAAGTAAGTTTCTGTTTGGGGTCATATAAAAGTTTTGGAAATGGAAACTAATGAGGGTTTCACAACAGAATGAGTGTAATTAACATCACCAAACTGTACACTTGAAAATGGCTCTAATGGCATACTTTTTGTTTCATGTATATAATGTTCCAAAATTAGGATGACTAAAAACTCATGACACAATTCCAACTCTGAGCCTATGTTGTTGTTATGTGCCATGGAGTCAGTTCCGTGGAGTCAGTTCTGACTCATAGCAACCCTGTACAGGGTTTCCGAGGCTGTAAATCTTTACGGGAGCAGAACGCCTCATCTTTCTCCATGGAACAGCTGGTAGTTTCCAACTGCTGACCTTGTGATTCACAGCCCAATTCGTAACCACTACGCTACCAGAGTTCCTAAGTATGGGAAACAACCAGCAACAGAAGGCTGCTCCTCCTCGGCGGTGTCTGCTGCTCAGGGAAGCCAGAGGTGCTGCCACGGCCAGGAGGGGCAACCTGCTTTCCATCCCACCCAGTGAAGCTCCAACAGGCCTCATTCTAGTCCAAACCCAGGAAAAAAAGGGTCATTTGCATTGTACATTGCCCCTGGATGGCCAGATTATATTTCTTCCATCAGCTCATCAGCCAGGAAACAGGAGTCCAAATTAATCTAAAACTTGGGCCTACGAAGTAAAAATAGCTGGTGACTCACATTGGAGCCAAGAGCAGACAGAGTCTTTTTGTCACTGGGCCCAGGCTGCTTCATGAAGCGGTTGTTTCTTCCACTGCTGACATTGCTCCTAGCAAGCAGTGCGGTGGTTTGGCAATGTGAAGGTTCAAGGGCCCCTTCTTCCTGAGGGATGTTTAACCTGGATCAGAAATCCCAACAGGAGACACACCATTATCTGGAGTACTGGAGGGTCCTCAGCAGAAAGGGGGCTCAGGTTTGATTCCGAATATGGAAGGACTGCCTGCCGAATGCTGATTGTAAATGGAGTGGGCTTCCTCACACAATGGTGACCTTCCAGTTCACAGACGTGTTCAAACAAAGGCTGGGTGGAAAGTAGTCCTGCATTAGATGGAGGATAGATTTTACAAGAAGTCCCTGGGGCGGGGCAAACAGTTAAGCATTCAACTACTAATCATCAGGGTGGAAGTTCAAGTCTACCCATAGATGCCTCAAAAGAAAGTCGTGGTGATCTGTGTCTGAAAAACCAGCCATTGGGAACCCTATGGCGCACAGTTCTACTCTGCAACACATGGATCACCATGAGTGGAAATAGAACTGACGGCAACTGGTTTGGGGCCTTTGTTTTTGTTTTGTTTTTATTCTATGAGCAGGTTGGAAAAGAAATCGTTTTCTCTTTCATTGTCTACCCCGCGGGCATGCCCTCATCCTTGCTTCTACCCTAGGGCCCTCGCATAGGCTGTGACTCCCATATCCCCTGTGGGTTTACAGAGGACCAAATCCAAACCCCTCATTTCATAGTTGAGGCTCATAAAAGCTAATCCACCAGGTGGCCATACTGATGAGGTTTCGAGACGGGCAGTCTTTTGGTTCCTTTTACTGTTACAGTTGTTGTTAAGTACCATCGACTTGGTTCTTACTCATAGGGTTTCTGAGGAGTGGCTGGTGGGTTTGTACTGATGACCTTGTGGTTAGCAGTTCAGTGCTTATCCTACAACACCACACCAGGAGTCCAAAGATGTTTTAAGGTTTGTGGATGGGATAAGCTAGTTTGCTTCTCTATTTCTTGGACAAGGTTTCTCCTTCCTCCAGGTCCTCCTGGTTTCAGTTGCAGTTATGTGCTTCCCTTTCCTGCGTAAAGACGTAATTCTGGCAATGAAGCATAGTGAATAGTACTACAGACTTGGGAGCCAGGCAGCTACTACACAGTTACTGGCTATATCTGAAATCCTTGAGCAAGTTTCTTAAACCCTGTGCCTCAGTTTCCTCACACCTCAAACACCTGTTGTGAGAATCCAATGAGCTAATGCAGACCACTGGCAGCTACTTTTGGCAGTCCCTCTGGGGAACCACATACAGTGTGTGGCCACCTTTGAGTCACTGCCTTTGAGTCAATTCTGACTCATAGTGACCCTACAGGACAACCTAGAACTGCTCCTTAAGGTTTCCAAGAAGTAAATATATTTTATAGGAGAACACAACTTCATCTTTCTCCCATGGAGCAGCTGGCGGGCTTGAAGAGCTGAACTTACAGTTAGCAGCTTAATCCCCTGCACTACCAGGGCACCTTCCACTCTTCCAGCCCGCACTAACTTGAGTTCATACTTCGTAAGGCAAAGGAAACTCCTTCTGGATTGAAAGTTGTTGTTGTTAAGTGCTGTCAAGTTGGTTCTGACTCATAGTGACCCCGTATAGGGTTTCTGAGGAGCAGCTGATGGGTTTGAACCACCGCCCTTGTGGTTAGCAATCCAGTGCTTATCAGTGCCACAGTAGGACTCCATTTTGGGTTGAATTTGTTGTTGTTGTTAGGTGCCATCGAGTCGGTAATGGGGCCCACAAAATTCCTGTTCATCAAGAAACACAGAATACAGCCTTGTTTGGAAATAAGATCTTTTGCAGATGTAACCAGTTCAGCCGAGGTCGTACCGGAGTAGGATGCGTGTGGGCCCTAATCAAATGAAGTGTCCGTATACTACTGCTGCTACTAAGTGCCATTGAGTCAGTTCCGACTCATAGCAAACCTATATAGGGTTTCTGAGGAGCGGCTGGTGGGTTTGAACCACCAACCTTGTGATTAACAGTCCAGTACTTATCATAGAGCACCACACCAGGACTCCAATAAGAAGAGAGAAATTGGAGGCACAGACACAGGAAGAGATGATAGCCACGTGAGAGCAGAGGCAGAGACCGGAGTGATGCTCCCACAAGACAAGAAACCCCTGGAGCCACCAGAGCCTGGACAAGGCAAGGAAGAATCTTTCCCTAGAGCCTTTGGGGATAGCATGTCCCTACCAACACATGAAATTTGGACTTCTGCCACTGAAACTATGAGACGAACATTTTCTATTGTTTTAAGCCACTCACTAGTCAAATATCACCCTTGTTGTTAAGTTGTTAAGTGCCATTGAGTCGGTTCCAACTCATAATGACCCTGTATAGGGTTATCGAGGAACAGCTAGTGGGTTTGAACCAACAATCTTGCCATTAGCAACCTAGTGCTTACCCTAGTCTAATGTCATACCAGGAAACACATCAGAAAACAGAACTCATCTTTTAGCAAAATAATACAGCGGCACACAAAATAAAGATTACCTACAAAAAAAACACCTATATGAGACTGAAAAGTCAGCAGTTACTCTAAAGAAGATTAAGGGGATAGGGAAACCAGTTCTGGAAATGGAACTATCAGAACAGAACTAAAGAGAATGGTGACACATTTGAAAAATGTAACTGTCACTAAACAATTTATAAAGAACTTGTCAAATAAGAACATAATTTATTGTGTAAATGTTCACTAAAAATGCAATAAAATATTATTAAAGTCTACAAGATGGTGTCAAAAAGTTCATGGGAAAATGAAATTAAAAGATACTGGAATTTTCCAAGAACTTTTGAAGCCTACTCATTTGTGTGTGTGTGTGATGTTACAAAAAAATAAAAAACAAAAAATTAATCATTTGAATTTTGAGCTTTAGGAGAAATGGTCTCTGGTCTCTCAATACTTCTGAGAGGTGAGAGTAAATGTTGTCCCCGATGAGCAGGGCTGGAAATCGAGGTCTAGAAGAGGAGAGAGCCTTTCCAGATCAGTCAAATGAATCAGAGCAAAACCAGAAATAGACATAGTCTAGGAGCCATGTCCGCTTTGTTTCCCTCACTCTTCCCCCATGTGACGGAGACACTCTGGTTTAATTTGGATCGACCCTGTGTGGAGGAGACAGGTACAACAGTAGGAAGAGCAGCATCAGGCCCAGCTCCAGAGCATCGCAGAAAAAGACAACAACCTGGTACCTACCGGCAAGCCAGCCTCAGAGCACTATAATGAGGAAGAGGAAGATGACGAAGATAGTGAGGAGGACTCAGAGGGTGATGCGGATATGCAGGACATGGACGAAACGAATGACTACAATGAATCACACAGTGATGGAGAGGTCAATGAGGTGAACATGGAAGGCAACGAACAGGACCAGGACCATTAGATACTCTAGGTAGACAGGGCAAGAGGATCCTCAGGGAGACCCCAGGCCAGCAGGCCAGCCCAACCTACCCTGCACCCCCTACAGAACCAGTTGATAGTCACGGTGCCTGAAAGCTTAACTTTGGACACCTCCATAGCTGCTGCTAGGACCCGGGCCCCTGGGCCTCTCCCAGGCCATCAGCCTGCTCTTCTTCCCAGCCCCAATACCCTTCTCTTCGCTGCCAGGTCTGGTCTAGTTCTAACTTTCTTTAATAAAGACACAGGACTGATTAAAAAAAAACAAAAACAAAAACAAACGGATCTATTGGTTCT